TTTTTTTTTGGGAAAAAGGAAGAATTGTTCTTTTTGAGTTTTTTTAATCAAGTTATTTTTAAGGTGACAACATTTTTATTTTGAGATTACACGTGTCATTATTTCATTTGTTGACTTGACATGTGAGCAGAGAGTGTATTTCACGCAGGTAGACTTACAAACACAGGTGTCCACGTGACACATCTGTGCTAAGTTGAAGTGTCTATATGGTCACTTGGTAAGTTGGAGTGTGAGGGAGACATCTGAGACCAACTTTATGTGTCTGTTTATGTTTTTGACTATAAAAATGCAAAATAAAGGTTATATCAAGTTTTAGAAAATCATAAAGATATGTTTACTTTACTCGGGAGGACTTTTCCATCTGTCAACAGTCACATCAACTTCACAATGATAAATTTTTACTATAAAATGCTTAAACTTTTTTAAGAAAAAATTAACACATAAAATATTCCTTTTAAAATTGGAGGCCTAACGTGTATGCCTTATTTGTTTAGCCCTTCAGCCGGCCCTGCTTCCAGGAATGCTCAGGTGGAAGTTTCACAATCCACTTGCTTCAAAGCGAAGACTAATCTTTTGGCACCCTTCTTCATTTTCTTGCTGAAAGTGGTGAATCTTGTTATTCCAGCTTCTGCAATGGAATCTCCTTTTCATCTTCTCAGTGATGATTTAAGAGCTCTTACATTTTCCTTATACTAGGAGACAAGTTCTCTTGTAGTGCCACAAATATCAAGAATCCTACAAAGCCTTGGGTATACCTCCTAATACATGCCCATACAATCAACAGAAAGCAGGGCCTCTTTTTCCATGTTTTGAGAAACATAAGATTGACATTGACTAGAGTATTTCAACCTTGGCTTTCTGTTTAAAGGTTTAATAGAGCTTCTTCTGAATTATAGATGATTTAATTCGAAATTTACGCTTTATTTACATCTCACTTTATCATGGATCCTTAACTAAAGACATGAGTATTCTGTTTCTGATAATTACTGTTAAATAAAGAATGATAATAATTTATTTTGTATCATGAAAACAGAAAATGGAAAAATACTCCTTAGAACGCCCAATAAAACGAAGAAGAATATGTAAGAATTTCGAGGATTTCCATGCGAACTGATCGCCAGTTTTTTGGTTTATCAATAAAAAAAGTAGTAATATTCTTTTTATTCATTTCCCCTTAATGTACTTTCAATATTTATGAGAATAAAGCTACTTGTAACATTATATATTCATCTTTTCTAATAATTCACTTTTACGAATGATCATGATGTGTAAATTAGGCTCAGTATTTATCGGTGACTTATGAGTTCTGCATGATGTAGTTCTTCTCTATATGTGTGAAGGTTGTACTGCTTAGACTAAGATCTTAATTCTCATTTCTTTTTCTAGAAAAAATTTAGTTGTAAAATTGGTAATAAATTTTTGCGATACAGTTCTAATTGAAGCTGCAATTGATTGATACAAGCAAGAATAACAATTCTGCTTCGTCCGTAGCCAAGCAAAAGGAGTGATGGGTGCTGAAGTCCACTACCAGCCACTCTTTCGGGATATATCAGTATTTTGCCAAGAAGAGTTTGAAAATTAGCTGTGGAGCAAGACAAAAGTTGAAAGTTCCAAAATAAGGATGAAAATGTTGAAACGATTCATAAATTGAAGCACGATTTACTTTTGTGCGCTGGATGGAGAATTATTCTTCATTTTTTGCTGAACAATTTTATCAAGTTCAACACAATGGCTTCTGCTAAAGGTATTGATGACATAGGAGAAAAGCATCAGGTAATACTATGATGTATATTCACCATCGTGCCTTTTATATGATGCAAAAACATTCCTTGTTTATCTTATTGGTTAATGATTTGAGCATTACTGGTTTGTGTTAAACTAAAATTATTTGCATGGCAGAAGATCTACTGAAGTATACTTGATAAGTTCTAGTTGTTTGTGGGCTTAACTGAGGTACTGTATGGATAGCATAATAGGTTATTCCCTGTTGGTCGACACCAATGTTAGTGCATGTTCATTATTTGGCCGGGACTAATAAACACAAAATGTGTTTCATAAATGTAAACTGGGTGGTCTTTCAATAGATGTTAACTTTTACTACTAAATGTATTTTGACCGTATATTCGTTATTGGCAGGGACTAGTAAACACATATATTAACTTTGTGTGTTCTTTTGCAGGTTTGCCTCCTTTATAAACTACCCATTTCAGTGTTGTTATTTCAGGGTGTGGTATTAGCATTTATGCTCATTCAGATAAAATGTAAAGTATTTGACAAGTCAATATTTTAATATCCAAGTAAGTCATTTGTATCAATACACTACCTTGGTTCTTATTGTCAAAAACCTTAGTGACAAATATGAAGGTTTGAATAGTTTAGTTCAAAGTTAGTTATAAATATTACAAAGCTATATCGTTGAAAAATTGGAAGTTTGAGATAATAACTTTAATTTTTGCAAAGAAAATTTACTACATTTCTATTGGAAATGTAATAATGATTTTTTAATTAATAAAGAAAGTCATATAATGAACACAAGGAAACAATAAAGTTTTCAAAAGTTGATGGTAGCTTTTTAACAAAGATGGTAATTTCTTGTGGTAAATAATTTTGTAATAAATAAAAAGGTCAAATAATAATTACAAGATAATGAAGTTTTTAACGATTAATTATAGGCGAAAT